GGAAGAGGAAAATGTGCTGATTAGATAAAATTTTTATCTTCCTTATTGGTTCAGGTTTTTAAGTCTTTGAGGGTTCAATACAGCATTTAGCAATATTTGTGTTGATTAAACCCTAATAAATAAGAAAATAATAAAAAGAAATTAGTATATAAACACACAATAGATTTTGTTGTATTTTATGAAATTCTTATCACCTAAGCTCCATTGTCTGCTAGAATCACCTAGATGCCATGACAACTATGAATGCTGGTATTCTATTTAGTGGTTGTTTTTTGTGAATTCCAGGTAGTTCCATGAATCTTCATTTGTTTTAGTAGATGCTGTATTAATCATGCTTTGAAAATGTACAAAGAATGCCATTTGGTTAACTGGATTGACCTTCATTGATTTGGGCCACGATTGAAATTGAAAATTTATTTTTGAGAAAACAAGCCTTAGGTATAATCAAGGTGGCTGTCAATCAACTTAGTAGATTATTATTTATTTAGCTATATCAAGCTCATATTACTACACTTATTTCCACGATTTGATATATATAAAATGCTTATTTCTGTTCTGTTATGCAGGACTATATGGAAGATTATGAGGTTATGGTTCCATTTCAGTCTCTTCAAGGTCTTGGTTGCCATGTTGATGCTGTCTGCCCCGAAAAGAAGGCAGGTGATATCTGCCCAACAGCCATTCATGATTTTGAAGGTGACCAGACTTACAGTGAAAAGCCAGGCCATGATTTCACTCTGACAGCAACCTTTAAAGGTTTGGATGTATTGAGTTATGATGCACTTGTGATTCCTGGAGGACGAGCTCCAGAGTACTTGGCATTAGATGAGAATGTACTGTCTATTGTGAAAATTTTCATGGAGTTGGGAAAGCCAATTGCATCCATTTGCCATGGACAACAGATTCTGTCTGCTGCGAATGTTCTGAAGGTACTTCAGCCTTCTTTGATGTATAAGTTATTGTTTCCATGCTCCTATAGAAGTTTCTAGTTAAATATAGATTATGGTAAGTTACCATGTTCTAGACAAGGGTGGCAGACCAATGACAGAAAAGTAATTGGGATCAAAGTCCTCTGTGGTTCTAACCATCTAATGTCATACGTCCACATATTTTATGTGCATGTACTGTTAGTGCCTCTTCATTCTAGTCAACGCCTCAAGTTTCCTATTCACTTGGGAGTGAATCATTTGTCAGTTCAGGTAGATCCTACTCATAATGGTCCAGATGTGTGGTTGAAGATGCATTCAAAAGTGATACAAGAAAACAATTGTCATTGGAAATCCTTGACCTTATAAGGAAGTTAAGATGTTCAGACATTGTGGATTCCGCAATCATGATTGTCAAAGTGCACTGATGCTTGCACTAGACAGCTGAGAGTATTTTCATGGTTGAAACATTTTGGCATCCATTTCTTTTGAATCCACGTGCTATTTGTGGTGTAGCTTACATCCATCTTGGTTTGAATTTGTTCTTTCAGATATGTCCATTGACTTAATATCATCTGCTGTGTTTTGTTCATGCTTTTGTGATACATTTCTTGTTATACGTAAAGCTTTATACTTGTAACTCTCTTTTTAGGTTATGGTTATTATTTATTATATTCCATACCACAGTGGTAAGTTAATGGAGGGTTCAGATTTCGATAAGCAGGTTTAAACCTGGCTTGAAGCCACAGCCATTGACCAAATTTAGGTGAATACTTTGAAATCTGATTGAAATTATGTTTCCATTTTGGCTCTTCTTATTTCTGGAATAAAACACCATAGCTTTGAAGATTCAGATCCTTTCTTTTTTGTTTTTTATTTTTCTTTTTTTCCTTGGGGGGGGGGGGGTTAAGAGATTGATTAACCTATTTCTTTCCTTTCCTAGAGGCAATCAATCAATCTATCCGCATAAAATATCAATAGGGTCCTATAGATTATACACATTGGATTTCTGGGATGGTCTAATCGACCAAGAAAAATAAATCCTAGACATTATCAATGGTGTCACGATGAAGCATGGCGTTTAGTATATTCTCTGTAGATTTTAATTAAATATCATGAAGTATATTTCATATGGTCAAAAGTTTTTAGTTGTGTAATTACTAGTTTTCTCAGATTATGTTGCTATGATTATTTGTCTCTTTGTTGCAGGGTAAAAAGTGCACTGCATATCCTGCTGTGAAACTCAATGTGGTTTTGGCGGGGGCAACATGGTTAGAGCCCAATCCAATAGACCGATGCTTCACCGATGGAAATTTGGTGACTGGAGCAGCTTGGCCTGGGCATCCTGAGTTTATCTCCCAGTTGATGACATTGCTTGATATTCGAGTATCATTCTAATGTGAGTGCATGAGTTAAAATAATGTTATTCCCATGTATCTGTAAAATTATAGACTTGTTCTTTACGTTCTACATGTGTCCAAATGAGTAAAACTTTGCATACGTTTACTATGCCGTGTTCTTATTCTAGTTGAGAAATCTAGGTTAACACATTTGGGGTAATTATGGTGCGCACCACTGGATGCATGATTCACAACTATTTGGCTACACCGTGTGAAGTAACTTCGTGTTTTATAAAGTAAAAGTTGTACAAAAAGTATCATAGGTATTTGGGTACTTTTGATTTTCAAAATACGATTCTAAGAAGTAAAAGCACCAAAAAGCCCAAAAACACTGCGCCAGATTTCCTGACATTGCTCTAATGGTTGGTGTTTTGCTTTGTGTTTCTAGTGATCTTGTGAGGATTACATGTCACCCTTTTTATCATTAATAAGAATAGAATTAATTAATTCATAAAAACAAGATGTTAGAGAGTATATGCCCCCAACTCCAATTAAATTGATGTTATTTGATGTTTATTGTTGAATAAAATTAAATTTTGTTTTCATGTATGTTATGGTATGTCTGAATAACCATTTGATAAATTTGAGGAGTTTATCATACCAAGACTAATACTTTTGTATCGATGAAATAGTAGAGCAACTTGTCTCAATTGTTCGGGTTGGCCCTAAGGTATAATTTTTGTGTGTTTGGTGAAACACTGAACAAAATAATTTCTGGTTATATTTTGGACTTTACAAATAGGAAAAATTGAAGAGTTGCACTTAACTCTTAAACTTGATAGTGATGCCATATTAATTATTGGATTGAGTTGCTTTCGATATGTCAATTGGTGAAATCCACTTGTGGTCAAATACATGGGTATGGATATGGGTATGGGTATGGGCATGTTGGAACAATTTGGAGAATTTAGTGGGTGGTCATTGTGATATGATCAGCCATTTTTTTAGACAAAGAAAGGTTTTTGCACATAAAACCTTAGTTCAACAAAGTTGAAGAGATCTCTTTTCTCCCTTTTCTTCAAATTTTCTAGAAAACTTTCAAGCTCCTTAAGCGGTTAATTGTTGCACATAATAGTTAATTCGATCAACATTAGAATGCACAATCAATACATCAATTCTCACATACTTGGGTTAGGATTGATCTCCAACTATGGGCTGCATTACCTTCAGCTTGGAGGCTTATTTGGATCTGATTCTTTGAATGTGTCACCATTTTGAGAGTTGCAATTTGGTCTCCGTATTAGATAACTCTAAACCTCTCTTGTTCAAATTGATAGGATCAATCTAGATCGATGCAATAAGAAAATTGGTTTCTCTTGGAACTTGATTTCCTTTATATGGGTTGAATAATAAACATTTTGAAATCTAATGCTTCTTATCAAGGTTCAAAGTATCGACACGTATCGGCCTGTATCGGCTGATACATATTGTTTTGGGAGCTCCCCATTTGACCAATTCAGGGGGTGGAGCCTTAAACCAGCTCCCTTGAACCGGTTTTGAAAAAAAAAGTAAAAAAAAAAAGTACCGATATGGCCTGATACTTCCCTACTGGCATATCGAGTGTATTGATATTTTGAACCTTGCTTTCTACTGTCAAGGTTCGACTTTTATGATTTAAAATTGGCTAAAAGGGTTCTAGGTAGGGGTGATCATGGGTTGGGTCGGGCTGGGCCCAGGCTGGTCTTTGCACTTATAATAAGGGCTATAGCTTAGGCCTGGCCCCGGCCCAGCCCGGGGTTCCGGGCCTGAAACATAAGCCCTAGCCCAGGTCTACACGGGCCCGGGTCTGATTTTGGGCCAATGTCTTCCATATATAAAACATTACATATTTGTAATATTTTATATTAAATAACATAACATGCATATAAACTTATACATTATATAATATAAAATATTAACATATAATATAAATTATACATATCATGTTATAATATTTATATATATAAAATATAATCTAATGTAAATAATATATATACATATGTTTACATTATACACAAAATGTGTAAGTTTAAATATATGCGAAGCGGGCCGTAAAATTTGCAGGCCTGATATGGGTCCGGACCCGGGCTGGGTCTAAACACAAAGTCCAGGCCCATGCCTGGAATTTTCAGGCTGGGGCGGGCCAAACTGAAATAATCACCCCTAGTTATAGGCACCACCAAGGTTTGACCTTTATGGTTTAAGATCAGCCCATTTTTTAGTGGTATTAGAGCTATTGGTTTTGATCTAGAATTATAATCATATCAATTTTCATCTTGCATGAAATCAGCTAAAAGGGTTTTAGACGATTTTACTAATGTCAGCACTCAAAATTGGACACCTCAACCCCTTAAACTGTAAATATCCCATATTGACACTATTTAATTAATCGAAAATCACCAGGACTCTTTCCCAAAAATCGTTATCAAATTTCACCTCGAAACACTTTCATTCACCTTGATTGAGCCAAGATTTTATTTCAGTTCATCTCATTGATCGAGACCTATGATCCTTGAATCCGTCTATATCCAAGTTTCTTTTGACCAATTGGACCTTGCCAACGAGTCTGACCCTCAAAAACCTCATCCAATCAAATTTCACATAAAAATACATTCCATAACATTTAAATAAAATAAAATAAAATGCCATTTTGTGTATTGTCATTGGCCTTCATACTAGACTGCCCATAGAACCAACAATGCATCATAACACCTTCAAATCTAATCCTAGCTGTCCAAATGTTTACTCTTAGATTGGAACATTTCATCCTTCCCTACCCCAAATTTTATTTAAAATACTCTTAAAAAATTCTAAAATATCCAAAATACCCCTCAGTCTTCCCGTTTACCAGAATACCCATATTCTCACTTTTATTTGGACAATTCTACCCCTATGAGATTGTAAAATACCCAAAATATTCTTCAAACTTTCCCTTTACCAGAATACCCCTATTCTCACTTTTATTTGGATAATTCTACCCCTATGAGATTATAAAATACCCAAATTATCCTCCACTTTTCCTCTCACTAGAATACCCCTACTTTTACAATTCTTGGACACTCCTGCCCTCAGACTTTTCTATAATATTTGAATTACCCCTACCGTAAGCCTATATATAGGGAGTGGAAGAGGTGACCCGAACGATGGAAGAAGTGTGGAGAATCGAGCCACCCCTCTCAAGTCTCAAGACACATTTCCCTTGCCACATCAGCAGAACTCTTCATCTCAATTAATCCTTTGTTTTCTTTTTCACTTCTTTTTTTTCTTTTGATTTTAATTTGGGAGAATGACGTTCAGCCCAGGGTCAGGATTTATAGGCCCAAAGTACAGTTGGGGTAGGTGGTAGCTTGGAATTGATGTCAATTCACGGGCGGGCATTGATGTATAGAGTGAGGGTTTTTGACATTTTGAATGTTTATAGATCTCCGTTTTAATTTTCCTTTTATGTTCTCTTCATCTTCAAAAAAGAAAAGGGGGAGGGGGCTTAGAAAGTTGAAGGCAAGAAACACCACCATTAGTCCCCCCAACGAACTCAACCACTATGCATAGCTCCTCCCACCGACACTTTTTGGTAAAGATATCTCTAGTCATCGAATTTCGATTCACAGGGAGATTCTCAAGTCCAGATGCATCGTTCTCAGAAAGTATGCAATTCTAGGGCATTAGGTGAAGCTAAATCCTTCATATTCTTAGTTCAGGCTCCAAGCCAGACTCTGTTCATAACTATTCCAATCTAGTCTACCTTGGACCTTCTTGAGTAGTGACTGGTTTCAAGAGAGGTGTGAACAGGGAATCTCAGTATTGCCCCACTCATTGGACTCCAGCCCGAAGCCTAGGTCATGAATAGGGAAAACTTGAATTGTTCTTCATCTAATCCTATGACATGATTGAATTGGATGCTTATTGTTTGATAGTTTTTCTCTTTGAACTCTTAGCAAAGTTTAGCATTTGTAGAGAACCATAGGTCAATGACTCAAACATGTGCCATTGCTGAATTTGGTGTTAGATTCCTCAAAATAAAAGAAGAAAAGAAAAAATAAAAAAAGAAAGAAAATATAAGGATTAATGGTGCTAATGGTGATAAAAAAATATAGTGATTGCACATTGGGTACACTTGTTTTTGCTTATTATGGAAGTTTGCATATGAAGAGACTAGATTACCAGACTCCGAGAATGCTCAACCCTAGGAGTGAGCTATTGTCAATGACAAAGATGGTAGAAATATAAGTTAGTATAATCTTGCACATTATGGGAGTTTGCCTATGAAGAGACCTAATCACCGAAGTCCAAAATGCTTCTGGGACTCAGCCTATCAACACTGGGTCTAAGTTGCATTTATGTGTTTAGTCTTTCATCATGAAATTTGGTTTGCTTAGGAGAGATCTACTTTTTTGCATAAACTCATGTTGCCTAATTAATGAATTTTCACTCTTTTTGCCTACTTGAATTGTCGAATCCTATCTTTGCAATCAATTACTCATCTACATGCACTTAACATATCAGCTATTCGTTTTTATTTTTGAGCTTAGGGAATTGGCATCTACATAAGAAGGAAAGAGGAGTGTTTAACAAATCAAAGTTGTTACCCGGATGACCTTTGTCTTGGCATAGGAGTCGCTACAAATCAAAGTTGTTCAAAATACCAAGAGTCCCATCACTCCCTTTTCTCCCCAATGATATGTGGAAGCTCCAACAGTTAGCCATGAAATGGGCCACACAACTAGTTTTGAAAAATATTATGAGAATTTGATTCTCTCTAGTCCAAGGGCATATGATCTGAATAATAAGTGTTTAATTTGATGTGATTATGAATTACTTTTGTGGATGATTCAATGATGGAATGGTTGGAGTGTGGTGGTGCATCAAAGTTTCAATTTTTATATTATTCAAGGTTGTAAGCACATGAGCGGATACATATGATGATTGATTTCTGTAGAGAACACTGATGTGGGCCCCACAGCAGTGGTCCCCAYTGTGTTCGTAGGACAGCATGTGTAGTTATTTGTTTCAGTTATAGTAGTGTCAGTTTGGGTCAGTTTGTTAATTCAGTTGTTATTTATTTCAGTTTTATTTACTTTATTTATCATGTAAGCACTAAGGGCAGATCTATCATTTCCATTATGTACTGAACATAACCTATAAATAATAAGAGAGTGGCGGCGACAGATCTG